TTAAGATAAATTTAAAATGATTAATTCTGAAGATGCTCTCTGAAATTGTCAATAAAAATAGAAAACAATGTTCGAGACGTTTTCTTCAAAACGGGCACAGCAAACACTTTCTTCTCACATTCTTCTCGTAGGGATATGCATGGATGGGTGGTGTTTTTTAAGGACCTCACTCCTCTACACGCCATTTCCGTCCAAAACGCTAAGATCAGAATGATGAATTGAACAAAAGAAAAGAAAAGGAATCAGGAAACCCGGAATTTGCAAAAATTCTTCAATTTTTTCAAAAGAAAGAAAATGAAACCAATTTTATTTAAGTCTCGCGGTTCAACCAGGAAGAATACAGAATAGAATGAAAAGAAGCAGAAAAATAATTACTCGTTTTGCACCGCACGAAAAGTGGAAGAAGATACCGGAATCAGGGGAGAATCAAATTAGAGAAAGGAAAGAAGAAATAAGACATCATAAAATCAAAGGAGTTGGAGGAGATTAACCGTGTTATTTTTGTTTGAGTACAACAAGAGAAGGTTGAGAAGAGTAAAATGAAAAAGGGGAGAGAGGAGGGGCGGAATAAAAGGAAAATGAGGGATTATCGTTTTTCAAAAATTTCAGCCAAAGTCCAAAAAAATACGTCCGGAGATGAAGAAATTAAAAAAAATTGATTATCGCGTAAATTTCCAAAAATTTAAAATTTTGAAATTTCAAAATTTAATAACCTCCAGTGATCAATTGTTTCTGTTGCTACCATGAAATCTGTTTTAGAAAAGCCCCTTTAATAGAAAGGTTGCTCAATTAGAAGAGCCCCCCCCCCCCCCGGGTGGTGTTCGGAAAAAATAGAAGGGTATCCTTTAATAGAAGGTCCCCTGTAATAGAATGACCCCTGCAAAAAAGAATCCCCTCAAAATATGTTCTGAATTCAAAAGCTTCTGTTTTTATGAAAAATGTCCCGGGAATTCCACAATTTGATAAAAACTTGTTAAAACACTTTTTTTTTAATAAAAAAAACTTGGTCAATTTTTTTTTGCCGAAATATGAAATAAATGAAATACGAAAAACGGAATACAAAATGTAATTGTTGCCGAAACGGAAAAATAGAAGTACCCCTGTAATAGAAGTGCGTTCCAGAGGTCTCCTCGGAACAATAAAAGGGCCGGCCTTTCTAATACAGGTTTTACGGTAATTGATACAATAACGTTTTTTTTTCAATTGAATGAAGATATTCATTGAAATTCATAAAATTACAATTGAAATTTTCTTTTAAAAAATAAAATTTTGGACTTTTCATTAAAAATTAAATAATTAAATGGGACAATTTTTTTTAAACAAAACTGTAAATACATTAATTTCAAAGAAATTTAAAATATTACAATCAAAAAAAAATTTAACCTCTAGTTTACCATTCAAGCTTATTCATAGCTTTTATCATTCCTAATCTGAATTGCTTGGTACTAAAGTCTTATACTAAATCTGAATTACTTCCTTTTTCCTACCAAATGTAAGACTTTTTTGTCCTAACCCTACACTTTCAGTATTCTTGAAAATATTAGATGTCAATACCCGAGTTTCATTGTTGCTCCCAACTCATTTATATTCGATAAGAAATTAAAATACCCATCTATCCCACCACCCAATGCAAAATAGCCTATAGAGGTGGTGGGATGAATATATAATAGTTAGCGAATAAAATGTTCTAGCGTCTCATCTCAAAAATTTTCTTTTGAATAAAGATGAGCCCAGAGTCACACACTCAGATTCCAAGAAAAACGGTTGAATGTCCAATGAGAGCATCAAATAGAATTATGATGATGGTGATGATGTGCTAGAAACAGCATCGAAATAAGAATGTTTTTCAGATATATATGAGGGTTTGTTGTGAAGGTGAGAGGGCAGCAGGAAATATACATTAAATATGAGTTTTGAGTCAGGAAGAAGAAAATAAAAAAATCGGGCACTGCTTTGAGAAGAACACATTTTTGTGTGTGTGATACGGATTCCAGGTTTGAGAGTGTGAAAAGGTCAGCATATGTGATAGGTTGTTGTTTTTGGCGGATTTATTCGGGTAACTGAGAAAATACTATGCCGTTTTCAAACGATTAGAGTGGGTGAGAGATTTCAATATTTAAGCCAAAAAGCTTACCGATTCAAAAATACGGGTAAAAATATTATGTTATTGTTTCCAGAAAAGTGTTTCGAAGTTGGAAAACCTTGAAAATTTTTCAACATTTTTAGACAGACTGATTTTAATAAAAAATGTTGCGTTTCAAAACAACTTTTTTCAACGTTTTGTTTTTGGTTTTTTTTTGTTTCAATCTTTCATCACCACCATAAAACCAAACGACAAAAGGATTTCATCAAACACTAGGTATTTGAAAGACCATAAGAAGGTTCGGTCGCTTCTGTTGGAAATTTTTTTTTCAAAAAAAGGGAAACGATAGAATTGGTTATTCTATTAATTTTTCATCGAAATGAAATGTGTACACTCATCCGATCCATCAAAAAGGTGCACGCTAGGCTACGTAAAAGGGTGCATCTTTCTTTTTGGGAAAAGTATGCAAAAAATGAGATAGCGGAAAGAATGTTTCCCATTTTGGGAAGAGAAACCTTTTTTGAGAGTCGTGAGTTGGGTCCAGTGGTACGAGGTCATAATCCTTCATAGCTCATGCAACACTTACTGCACGAGGTACGTTTTTTTTTGGGAGAAGCGAAACAAGTAAAAAGTTTTCGGGAGAAAAAACACTTGAACTCCTTGTACCCGAGTATTAAAATGTTAAGAAGAATTTCCGAAAATAAAGCAAAATCTTTAGAAATAAATTAAAAATTCACAGTGGTAAAAAGGGTCTCAAAGGTGCTTGAGGACGGAAATAGAGCTCTAAGCGAACTTATTTCTAAGGCTTGTGAAAAAAAATTTAATTTTCAAAAACCTTGAAAAACATTACTGCAGGTCAATAAACAAAAGCTTTTTTGTTTAAATATAGCAAAAAAGGTACATATAAATAGATTTTGGAGAGTCGGACCTTGTAATTGCGGAAGAATAGGATGTTGCTCACGTAATATGCTCAAGGAGAAGAAGAGAAGGGATACCAGAAAAAGAAAACGACAGGAAATAGCTTTCAACTCTGAAAGTTTGAGATGTTAATTTCGCGCTGTTGCTAGTGAACAAAATCACCTGTCATTGAATAAAGTCCAGAGAAGTAGTTTTTTTTCGACGCGTGTAGTTCTGCTACAATTTTTATAGAACTATGGACAGACCACAATGTGGAAATATTAGATGTGTCTTGATTCTTGTATTTCTTACAGCTTGCATTTAGACAAATTTATTTAAGTCTGAAGTTTTCCGATTTTTTACAGTAATATCATATGAAACTAGTTCATTTTAGGAAAAACATAAAACAGCGATTTTCAAACACGATTTTCTCAAGTTCTAGAACGTTATAAAACATGAACTTTGTATTTTCAGGCTGAAAATTAAACAAAATTACATATGCCAGACATTCTCTAAAAAAATTTTCGAAGTTTCCTCGAAGATTTTTTTTCGGAATTTAAAAAAATCATTTGAAAATATTTTGAATTTGAAATTTCGCTCAGTATAACGAATCAGTTTTCATGTTTGAAACGTCCTAAAATTAAGAAAACCGTTTTTAAAAATTTTTGTATTTGTACTGAAAACAGATTTTTTAAATACTAAAACGACATAGCTTGGCTGAAACTGGCGAGCGGATTTCTGAATTTGAAGAAGTATCTAGAAAAGTTACTTTTGACCGATTTTGAAAGTTTAATTGTAATCCCGGTTTGCAATGTTCTCTTGTTGGGCCCGACTGATAGCAACGCAGTACTTCTATCGGTGTTCTCAAAAATTCTTATCCTCAAGCATTTCTTCTCACCGAAATTTTGAGATAATTGTTATTTACGTCTCCTATATTTAAGAAAAAACTGAAACAATTATTTATTTAAGAAAAAACTGAAATAACATCACAGATTTTCTATTTTGCTTCTGATTTATGTCAGTCTTAATACCGAAAAATGTGTTCAGACAACACTAGAAGTTTCAAATTTCCACCTACAGAATACATATCAAAGAAATATAATACTGTATCAAAATTTCTTGTAATAAAAGATTCTGAGAAGAGGAATCAATAGTAGACTTTAAAATAACGAGGCCTTTGAACAATAAAGGTACTTTTGCTTTTAATTTTTTTTTCTTTTGTCTAGTTTTTTAGCCTATGCAAACTGAAAAAAATATAAGCAAAATATTTCAATTGGAAGATGTTCGCCGTTCTATTTTCGAACAATACGATAAAACAGGCATTGGAAAAAAAACAAGAATGTCACTTGCATGACTGCACAACATACTTCCTAATGAGAATAAGGAAAGATGAGCTCCAAAAAAAAATGAATAAATGAGAGAAGAAATATGAATGTCATCGATAAGAGCGAATGGTGGCAAAAAATAGATGAGCATTCATGGAAATTTGTTTTCTTAATAATGCCATCTCTCGATTAAAGCTAGCTTCATCTAATTGTTAATTTGGGTCCTACGCAGGAGAGAAAAACGTTGCATTGGTTCAACCAGAGATCTCTATAAAAAAGGCAAATAGGCCAGTAAATAAAACCAAAAACAAAATGCCTACATTAGTCGCTGGCTTCCTGTGTTCCATCTCACACTTTGAATCGAATTTCCGTCTTACTAAAAGTATTCCATGGAAGTAATATCTCACATTTTTTATACGATGCAATTTTAATTAAATCCGGATTGCTAAAAAAAAATTCAAATAAGAAATGAACTCTTCGATTTCTATTCATATCTCTTTCCTTTTTTCTGTTCTCCTAGCTGTCATAATTGGATTTTCCAGAAAAGAAGAGCGAAAATAATTGAATTCGAGGAAGATTACTGGATTCAAGGAAGTTCATAATTTTATTACAGTATACAATGTTAGCAGCTCTGCTGGAAAAAAAGGGGCAATCATAATTATTTTTTCTTATTATCAGATATGTTTTTAGAACGTTTATCGAGTCGTTGGAACACATCGCAACTTTTTGGTGAAAAATTCTTCGAACCATTGGCTTTCATCATTGATGAACAGATTTTTGCGATCACCCACAATATCTGTGAGGTATTTTCTGAAAAGGAAATACATTCACGAGGAATTAATATCTCTTAACTCACGTATTTGTCAATTTGTTCAAGGAAATTGCATACATCTTCACATTCGGAAGTTGTCTGAGAAGTTTCGCTTGTTGAGTTGAATCATCTTGAGAGAATCTGAAGCTTTTTAGAATGATAAAATCTTCCTCAGTGCTTCTGATCATACCCATCGCTGATCAAAATTACTGTAGTTTCTGTATGCTTTCTTCTGGAATCCAAAAGTATCAATGACAATTCCAAAGCGGCTCCAATGTAGGTAGTTCCTGGACAAGAGAAATTGGAACTTGCAAAATCTGGAAATCTAGTAAAAATCACCTGTTAAATGCCGCACACTTCTGATTGCAGACAAGAGTTGTGAGTTCTTCGAATGAGTGTCAAAAGACCATTCCATTTTTTGTATATGGGGACCGGCAAACTGGATTAGACCCACTCGGTGGCTCCGGCTTGGTTCTACTTTTTTGATGAGTTGTGTAAGATAGTCCTAAAAGATAAAATGTTAGATTGCGGAACGATATACAGTACCGGCCAATAAGATAAACAAGAACGTATTTTTTAGTTGATTTTGACCATTTTCAGGAGTTAGGAGCTCTGCTGTGAAATTTTCGATTTTGGAGGTTATAAAACAGACATAGATTAGAAACAGACGTAGACCCAATGTATTTACAGAATTTTTTTTTATTCGTAGTCTTTCAGCTATTTGTCGATTTTTCCTTTTTGTTACTGAAATGTTAAAAAAGCAGGTATCTTTCAGAAATCGGACAAAAACCGAAAAACTGGTAATTTTCGACAAATTCTGTGAATGGAAAGTTTTCAGTCTAGGTTTGTCTAGGTTTATGACCTTCACATTTGCCAAAGTAATCGGAGACTTGATAGCCAAGCTCCAGACTCCATAAAATAGTCAAAATCAACTAAAAACGCGTTTTTAGGTATCATTGACAGGTTCTGTATAAAGAACGTCACCTTTTGAGTGTCATAAGTGCGTGCAATAGACCCAGAGCTGTCGACAACAAATAGTATGTCCATTGGACATTGAACACTGGCCGCTGAAAAAATTTTCACATATTTTTGCATTCACTGGACCTTTTTCAAGACCACTCTGAGAGCAAAACTCACAAAATATTTCTTCCTCCTTCTCTTCGATTATCAAAGGTCTCAGAGTACTTCTGATTGGTGGAGTCGTTGGCGTAGGTACCCTTTTAATTTCTAGAACTTTTTTTGTCACTTTCTTTGCTTTGCTAGACGATAGGATATTTCTTCTCCGTTTTATTATCCTTCGAATTTTCTTCTTTATTGGTTTACTTACACCTAGTGCAGTGACAGCGTTGTTGATGGGAAGTGTCACCTAAAAATATTGGAAATAGACAAAAAACACTCGTATGCATAAGGGCAACACGACTTACTGCTTTTTCCATGCTGAGTAAAGTTGGGAATGCGGTCACTTCCGAAAAAGTTTGAAGACTAAGCGAAGATTTTGCAAGAGGGGTGAAGGAAGGGGACTGCGTTGTAGTAGTGGTGGTACTGAAAATGTGATCATTGAAAAAGTTTTTTTTTGTTTACAAGTACTTTTCGGTGGTAGCTTCAGTTTTGATCGATTTTTTAGAATTTGTTACTGGTGTAGTCGTAATGGTAGTGGTGGTAGGTGAAGTTGTGGTAGATTTCGCTGTTGTTGAATCTGAAGTGGTTGACGTTGTGGTTGTGGAAGTCGACATTGGTCGAAAAGTGACTTTCGTAGAAAATAAAAATTTGGATGTAGGTAAAGCAGACGTAGGAGTCTTCGTTTCAATTGTTTCAGAAGAATTCTCTGAATCCTTCTCCACTGAACTATTGTCCAACTTGCTCTTCACAAGATCCAATTCTTCTTTCACGCTATTTCCATTTGGAACGTCTCTTCCCAAGAACTTGCTCAACGGGTCTTTTTCCTTCTTCTCTTTTTTAACTCCAAGTTTTACCAAGAAAGATTTGGTAGAGAAATGAGCAGAACTGGATGAACTGGGTGTAGATGTTGGAGGATTGATGCAGATTGTGGTTCCAGGAGGCAGTGTGGTTGATACTGTAGTGGAAGCCCCCGTATTCTCAGTTGGTGTTCTTGGTGTCTCAGTTTTGGTTTCAGTCGTCGCGGGGACACTGCTTCTTTCTACAGAATCGGTGGAATTTTCGGTTGCTACAGTTTCAGTACTTGTAGATTCATGATCAATTCCAGTTTTATCCTTTGCTTCCGATGTATTCGATTCTTCTGACAGTGAAGTTTTCAAATTTGTCAAGTTCAACACCTTATTCTCATGTGTCGACTCGGTTTCCGCTGTGAACAGTTGAACGGGCTCTTTCCAAGTGTGAGATGTTGGAAGAATAGTGGAAATAACATTGCTCAAACTGGAATCAGTGGTAGATGTTTCATTATGTCCAATGTTTTCCACACTGTTATTTGACTCATTTGATTTGAAGCTAGCATTTAAGGAAGCAATGGTAGTAGAAATGCTTTCAGAGGTGCTCTCGGAGGTGGAATCAGAAACAACAACTGCTGCCTCTGTGACCGGAGAAACAATTGCTGCAGCGTCAGTTATCCTCCATCCAAATGAACTTGTGGTTTTCTCATTTTTCCTCTGAAACATTACTTTTTATGCATTGCCTTAAACATGATTCACTCACTGGTTGAATTTCACACGATCTGGAACTTTCTACTTCACCAAGAAGGCGTTCTTCAATCCGATTTTCATCTGTGGGTCTGAATATTAATAATTGAGGTTTTTCGAATATCCTGCTAGATGTCTATTTTAATCTACTCTGAGAACACATTTCGGTTTATTTGTTTCATCAAATGATTCTCGATGTTTCAGCAATTTACCGTAAAACCTGTAATAGAAGGGCTATCATTCTGTCAAGACTAAGCTCATTTATGTCAGCTCCTCTAAGAGGTATCAAAAATGTGTCAACTGATAAAACACTTCTGATATTATGATAAAAAAGTTGTCAGTTGGCAATTTTTCCATTTCTTTGAAAGGAGTCCAGATACATTGGCTCAACGTTAAAAGTTAGGGGCTCTTTTATTACAGGTTTTACGCTACGTGTTTAATAAACATGTACCGTAACATTTTTGATAGATTTTCTTTTTTTTTTTTTGAGCCCATACATCTCATTTTCTGTAAATGATACCAAAAAATGACCAGAACTATTTTTCCCATTTACGATTTTTTTGATATCTGTCACAGGAACCCAGATAAATTAGCTCGAAGTTGGTGGTTGTTTTATTAAAATGCTTACAGTTAACAAAACTGCATTGAAAGTGATAAAAAGTTCATAATAGCAGAAAACTCAGAAAAACCATGAATTCTGAAAAAAAAAGTCTCACCCGAAAACATTATCCGCATCACCAACGATTCCCAACATTTCCGGAACGAACCCGATGCTGTTTACACTGATCGTGTAAATTTTGACACCTAGAATAACAAAGTTCAGATGAACCTCATATAAAATTTAGCAGACAGAAAACGAACCTTTTCTACGGAGAGCTTTTGCCGCTAAAGTTGGTTTATCCATGGAAAGACCATCAGTGAAAACAATGATAAGTCGAGTGGCTTTTAGTCTGGAACAATTAATTCCGAACAATTTTTCCGAATATACCGTAAAACCTGTTTCAACTTTAAGCCTATTTATCTTGGTCCCTGTCAAAAAAAGGAAAAAGTGGTCAACTGACAAAATAGTCACCATGATACCAAAAGTGTTTTGTCTGTTGACCACTTTTTCATATATTGCAGAAGAACCAAGAAAAATTAGCTCAAACTTGACAGAGTGGGACCCTTCTGTTATAAGTAATTATAAGTTAAAATTACCTCGCCCCTCCATCATAGTCGAAAATCTCATCATCTGCTTTACTCAACGCTACTCCAGTTCTGGTGTCTTCTCCTGGCATGAATTTCAGTGTTTCCAAATGTGTTATAATATCATTCCTTTCGGAATATCTAGACAGATTGAACTCTGTTTTAGCCTCATCAGAATACCGGAAAATAAAATGCTTTAAAAGTGAATAAAAAACGAATTAAGTAAACTCACTGTACGATGCCAACTCGAACTGCATCTTCGTGAACTGGAAGGTCTCTTACAATTTTGATAGTCCAGTTTTTCTGCTGCTCAAAAACTGTGTCATTCCCGCCAGATGTGTCAAATAAAATAATTATATCAAGCACAGGTGGACAAACACCTAAAAATATGATTCGATTCTACAGTTAATCAATTGGTCATACCATCTTTCTGTTGCTCCAATGCTATAACAAGGCGCCAGAAAGTTGCAAACAAAAATAAGCAAAAACCCCGGGAAAACATAAGTGTCAGCTGTATATGGCGGGGGAAACAAAAATGAGGATAATGAGTCGACTATGCGGAAATAAACCAAACTATATGAACAAGAAAGCGCTTTTTTTCGATGGAGATCTCTATCCGACAACTTTCTAGCGGTTTCTCGACTGGTTGTTCACATTTACGCTTTCTTTTGTTTATCTGCATGCTAAGCGTCAGATTTCAGATAACGCAATGAAACACAAGCTGGATTCATTAGACATTAGCCGAATTAAGTTGGTGAGAAAAAAAAATATGAGATGGCAAAAACACTTGAGGGGATTTTATTTGGTAACAATCAAAGGGCGGGTGACCATGAGGAATTGAAAAAGTGTAGCTGGTGTTACAATACTCTCATGGAGTTTTGATTTCTTCCCAGCTTCACCAAAATTGACAACATATTTTCCAGGTGATTTTGTAGTAATATTTCTCTGAAAATAATCAAAATTAAAGGTTTTCAGACCCTCTTTTGAAATACCGGTGCCCCATCTACTGTTAGAACTACGGTTTCTACTGAAACGGTTGCATTCATCCGGCATGACTCGCAATTAATTTGATTTAAGCATATCAATCGATAAGTGAAAATTTCAAGATCCAAGTCCTGAACATTCTTTTATTTTCCGCATTTCAAAATGTTAAACACAACAACACCTTCTTCGTGTCCCTATGCTTTTTGATGATATCTTTGTTTGGAATTATATGAACACCATGCTTCTCCAACTTCATCACCAATTCGGAAAGTGACATTTTCCTTTGATGCAAATTTCTCAGCTTACTGAATTCATCTCCAGTCAAGGTATCCAGGTAGAAATAGGAATCCTGAAGTAGAACTTTTTTTAGGAATGTGAAAGGAACGAACCTCAACCACAAATGCAAGTTCCACCACATTCGTATGTAGCTTGAAATAGATTTTCTCTTTTTCAAAGCTGATTTTCCAACTTTTATAAGGATAGTGAAAGTCATTATGTTGAAATAACGATACATAGCCCATTTTGGAAAGTCTTGTGGTCACAATGAAGGTATCTGAAAAGAAAAATATGAAAAAGGATATCACGAATTTTCAAAACTTGCTTTGATCAAATTGAGAATGAGTTGTGAACACTCCTTTTTTCCAATCATCCGAACTTTCATCCCTGAATGCTACCACAGGTTCGTTCGATCCCAAAAACACTTCTTCAACTGGAACTTTTAATGAGACTAGAATACTCTCCCCATTCAATTTTCTTTCTTCCAGACCGACATCTGAAATGTACATATTTTGAAAAATGACATATTCTGATTTTACCTAGCGTTATACTCCATGATCCATACTTTTGGGACTTTCTCTCGCTTTCAAAAGATGAAATGTGATAAATGGGTCCCAAAAAAGCTTCCGTACCAAAATCAATTTTATGCTCTGTTCCATCAGTTGCTCTTTCTGGAAATCTACACTCAAAATTGCGAGAAAAGAGTAGCAAAACCTTTGCTAGCTGACTTTTTGAAAATCGGTGTGACATCCGAATACAAATTGAAACGAATGTGTTCACCACGCTTTAATGATGGAGATCTACTGAGCAATGTCCGCTGCGATAGGTGAGCTTGTTTTTTCTTTTTCTTGTCACCGGTTTTTAGTGCCATCTCTATTGTATTACTGAAAAAAAGATAATTTTATCAGTGATTTGTTGTCACAAGCTCACGTTAATCCTTTCTTTGCCGTTTTTTTCTTGAGTTTTTTCTTTGCAACTTTTTTATTTTCAACAAAAATATCTGGAACCTGTTCATCGTAGGGTTCGACTTCTTCGTCAGGTTCAACATACTGGTAAAGAAATTCTGAAAAAAACTATAACTATTTTCAGACTTTTTCAAATGGGGAATCAAATTTTCTCGATTTTTCCAAAAATCAGTTCAGGAAATGTTTTCAGGATTTTTCATGTTAGGAAATTTCTCGAATTCTTTTTAATGGAAATTTCATTCAAAAAATGTTTTTCTAAACTCAATTGTTAAAGGGGGACTCCGACCAAAAATTTTTTGCATTAAAATGTGTTAAAATTTATCTGTTTTTCCAATATTATTGCGAAACAATTCCAAGAAAAT